ACTATGGTCTCCAGATATTATATAATATATCTATATATCTATATACATTCCACTTTTCTTTGCAAAAGCGATGCTCTCCCTTATTGTAATTATTGTAATATATTATATTTTTATTGTAATTATATTATATTATTTGGTGGGAGGATGCTCCAATTATTGTAATTATATTATATTATCTATTTTTAACATGCACCATACAGAACTGGCCATATTTTGGATGCTGCTTTCTGCACCTGATGAGAGTTATTTGGGCTCAAAGGATGTGAAACTAAAATTCTTTTCTATTCCTAGTATCCTTTCCTATATCTGCATACTGTTCTTCCCCTTCCTACAATCTTAATTTTTATCTTTTTTCTGGGCCAAGTCTTCTCCTGGGCTTCATTGTCTTCTCCAGAAGGAGGCCACCTAAATTATTAATTATTATCAGGACAGTCTCTTTGCACAATACGCAGTTAGCTTATGAAATTCAAAAGCATTCGATCTGGCGATGACCACAGGACAAAAGTCATTGGGGAGCAAGTGAGGGACACCTATCGAGGTCCATTAGTGCTAGGACAAGTTACAAAATCTCATGCTGTCTGGGGATAATGGGAGCTGTACTACACCAAAAAAATTGTTCCAAGCTCTGAATGGAGCCTCCATATTCAGAGGTAGCATACCTCTGAAAGTCAGTGGACCAGTAGCAAACAATACTATTCATTTGTGGTCAAGTTGGAGGCAACACAGGTGCATCTTGTTCAATTTTGGTAGGAATTAATTGAGAAGAAAGCAGATCTTTGCATAATCTTTTGGAAATGACTTTATTTCTATATTTCTTGGCATCCTTTGCAGGTGACGGATGCTCCCCATCTGAAGGCAAGACTCTACCTGAGATTTGAACAGAAATCCACATTTGTTGGGAAAATAGCAGAAAAGTGTCTGGTCCCAGGCTCTGCAATTCTGCAAACAGACAGGTAAAAAGCCTTTTGATTCCAGAAAGCTTTTCAAATTTGATTTTTTTTTTCCCCAGAGGAAACAAGCTTTGTATAAAGTCCTGGACTTTTTGTTAATTGTTTTAATTCATCTAAACTGGTTTCATATTTTAGGCCAGTGTGGTTTAATGGTTTGAGTGTTGGCTTCTGGTTCTGGAGACCAGGGTTCGATTCCCAGCTTTTTCCATTAAACCCACTGGGTGACCTTGAGGCAAGTTACACTCTCTCAGCCTCAGGGCAATGGTAAGCATCCTCCCACCAAATCTTACCAAGAAAACCCTATGATAGGTTGAAAGCACACAACTTTTATATGCTGTGAGTTTTTTGCTATGATTCTTTTGAGTATTGCAAACTATTTGAGTCCCAAATTGGGAAAAGGCAAGAAATAAATATATAGGAGGAGGAAGAGGAGGGCTAGCCAATAATGTATCTCTCAAGCTCATCATCCTCTATAAGCAATATTTTGGGAACATCAGGGACCTCAAAGATATCACAGGGTGCAACTCTTCTTATTCCTTGTTCTTGCTTTCCTTCTGGGTAAAAGTATAGCTGGAAACAAGCAACCTCCACAAATGCAATAAATGCACCCAAGATAGTATCTTTCTTGCAATGAATGCTTCCTATATTGTCCTGTGTTTACTGCAGGAGCTTCCAAGATAAATTACTGGATTTTGCAAGATGCTAGTGATGCACCAATTCCTGTCTGATCTTGGAAGCTAAGCATGGTCAGCCCTGGTTAGTCCTTGGATGGGAGACCACCCAAGGATCATAGGTGCTGGAGGTTGGGTTTCAGAGGCCAAACCACCTCTGAGGATTCCTTGGCTAAGAAAACCCTGTGAAATTCATGGAGTCACCATAAGTCAACAGGGAACATGGAGGTACACATATACACATTGATCTTGGAAGCTAAAGAAGGGTCAGCCTTGGTTAGTATATGGATGGGAGACCTCCAATGCAATGCAATGCAATAAATGGTGCTGTAAGCTCTATTTCAGAGGAAGGAACTGGCAAAACCACCTCTTGCCCAAGAATTTCCTATGAAATTCAATGGGTCTCCGTAAGCCAGTGATTCCCAAACTTTGGCCTTCCAGATGTTTTGGACTCCAGCTCCCAGGATCCAAGACCATTGGCCAAGGTGGCTGAGGCATCTGGGAGCTGAAGTCCAAAACATCTGGAGGACCAGAGTTTGGGAATCATTGCCATAAGCCAACAGGCAGCTTGAAGGCACAGACACATACAGCAAAGTAAAGGGAGCATTTGCCCTGGAATATGCCTGAGGTTGATGGTGATCTCTAATGGTGGGCAACCTGTCCCCCCAAAAAAACTGGATCCCCATCACACATTTGTCAGGAGATCCTGACCAAGAACCCAAAGGCCATTAGCTTTCCCCAGAAAGTGGCTCTTCAGACTTAGGGAAATGAATACAGGCAAATTGCAAGAATTTCGGTCTTACATAACCTTTTTCTTTTCTTTCACTAAAAGGGGGGGGGGACCCTTCTATAATGTGCATAAAGGCTGCTTCCTAAAAATTAAATTCCTCCCCCCCCCCAGATCCCACTGCTATGTCTGCATATGCCCAAATCCAAATGTTTTTTTTTGTCCTTTAGAGCTATTAACAGAAATTGGACCTTCATGGGCCAAAGATGGAAATTCACAAAAGCAGTCACCAGGTTGTATTTGCAGATTTTTTAGGCTGCTGTCCCTGGTCCTGTTTCTCTCTCTTGAAGTCATTTGGGGTCATCAATCCGCTCTTTTGTTATTGCAGCATTTGACTTAACTCTTGTATGACTATATATATATATTATATATATACTTTATATTTTCCTGGCAAATGCAGCTGGTGTGATTAGAAAATTCATTGAACAGGATGCTTCCCATGAATTGTCTTGTTTTTAAATATTCTAACCTGTTTTGCATCGAGTCAAACCGTCCTGCCCAGTTTGGGTTTCGGTGCATTTGCATTAAACCAAAAGGGTTGCAAATCTCCACAACACATAGCAAATGTTACAGGCAATCACGAAACATCATTAAAATGCTAAGACCTTGACATCGGTTTGCTATTCTTCAGGACGGTCAGGAATTTTTTTTCTAGAGGAGTGCAATCTCCTCTGATGGATAAAGAGAGTATTTCCCAGTCCCAATACACGAATCCCTTTTTCTAGAGATGTCTGATGGATCTATTCTAGAGCCTTCCCTAGGATAAGTGGGTACTATCTTTAGCAAAGGTACTATCTTTAGCAATGCACTTTCTCTCCTGCCAGGATTTCTGGATAATCCTAAAAAACTGATCCTCAGTGTGTAGCCCTCTTCGGTCGCTCAGAGGCACAAGTTGTCTCCCAAATCTCCTAAAGCCCCCAATCCCACTCTGTGTGTGCCTTCAAGTCAATTTATGGCAACCCTATAAATTTCCAAGGGTTTTCTTAGGCAAGGTGGTTTTGCTAGTTCCTTCCTCCGAAATGTACCTGGTAGTGTCCATTGGTGGTCTCCCACCCAGGTATTAACCAGGTCTGACCCTGCTTACCTTCCAAGTTCAACGTGGGCCTGTGTGTCTACAAGTCACTTGTTGACTTATGGAAACCCCATGGATTTCACAAGGTTTTCTTAGGCAAGGAATCCTCCGAGGTGGTTTTGACAGTTCCTTCCTCTGAAACAGAGCCTACCTCACTTGATATTTATTGGCAGTATCCCATCCAAGTACTCACCAGCTCTGACCCTGCTTAGCATCCAAGATCAGGCAGGAGGGTATTCGGTCTCACCAGTGTCTTCAAGTTTCCTTTCGACTCTGGCAATCCTGTGAATTTCTTAGTCAAGGAATGCTCAGAAGGAACAGAGGAGCCTACACAGAATCAATATCTGTATTGGAAGGATATATAGGATCAATATCTGGATTGGAAGGATATATAGGATCAATATCTGGATTGGTAGGATCTGTAGGTTATCCTATGGCCGTGTGTGTCTCTGCCTTCGAGTCGCCTGTCGCTTTATGGGGACCCCATGAATTTCATAGGTTTTTCCCAGGCAAGGAATCCTCAAGAGGTGGGTTTGCCAGTTCCTTCCTCCCATCCAAGTACTATCCAGGCCTGACCCTGCTTAACATCCAAGATGGGATCTGGTGCCTTGAGGGTATTTAGACGTATCTGGAGCTAGGAGGGTCCTTTCCAGAAAGGCTTCAGTTCCAGAAATGTCCACCTTTTCAATGGCTAAGCTCTGCATAGCTGAACTTCAGGCATGTTGGTTGATGGGTTCTAGATTTTAATTTGGGGGCTGTCAAGATCCTAAGTCCTATCCCTCAATAGGTTTAGCACCTTGGGAAATTCCATTCAAATTAGTCAAAGCCTGGAATGGGCTCCTTCTCCTCCTGACATGGGGACCCCCCAGCCCCCAGCGAGACCCTTGAAAAAGAATCACAAAGCCAAATAACAGATTATAACCACTGCAAATACATTTGGAAATTAAATAGCCCCACTCATAGCATATATAGTTGATGCGCCTGTGCACCATGGGATGGGTTGCATAAAGATATGTCTCTCAAAGCTGCAAGAGCCAAATTTCCTCTTTGGAGATGATATATGTCCAGATTAATCTGTTAGGCAAAGCAACACCAGTAAATAAAGATTTGTTTTTTGCAAAAATGCAAAAGCCAAGATTTGAGTTAGGGCTGATAAAATCTTGCATCTTGCATCCAGAGGTCACAAGTAGTGCATGAAAGCAACAATCGACCCATATTTTCCCTCCTTGACACTCAAAATCTCTACTATTCCTAGACATGGAGGTTCTTCTATTGAGCCACCATGGGTAGATTGCCACAAAAGACTGGATTTTCCTATTTATAATAATAATAATAATAATAATAATAATAATAATAATAATAATAATAATTGAAGGAGGGAGAGAGAGAGACTTGCTCCTTCCATCCTTGGAGGGGATTGCTTTTTGCAAAGTAAATCTAGATAACAAAGAACCTACCTTGGAGAAAGAAGAAGAAGGAGAAGGAGAAGAAAGAGGTGTCACTTTGGACCCCAGAAAAGTTGTGTCTCTGTTTGGAAAAGTTGGGCTTTTCTCCACCAAAGAGCGCCGTGTCGACCTCCGGGACTTTTTTCCCTTTGGATGCCTCCAAGCCGCAGCCCTTGTTGCTGTTAGCAATCTGAATGCAAAATCCTGAATGTAATCTATTAATGTACTGCCTGTCCAGCTGCCTTTGAAAAGGGAAAAAAAACAAATTCACCAGGGATAATGAGAATGAGAGAGAGAGAGAGAGACGCTCCACCTTCTGTGCTTTGGTTAATGGTTCAGACTTGAGATAAGCTGAAAGAGAGAAAGTGTGCTGCACCCTTTGTTTTCCTCTGCTCTCCATCGCTCCCAAAGGCCTCTGGTTTTGGAGATGCAATAATAATAATAATAATAATAATAATAATAATAATTTATATCTCGCCCCTCTGTCAAGCAATCAGGGCGGCTCACAACCATTTAAAACACCGTACAATTTTAAAATACAATCCAAAATCCCACATCCCTCCCACCCCTTAAAAAGGAATTAAACAATTTTAACATTAAAACAAGATACCATATTTTCTGGCATTTAAGACGACTGGGCGTATAAGACGACCCCCCACTTTTCCAGTTAAAATATAGAGTTTGGGAAGAGTATGACTTCCAAAACTGTTGTTGTTGTTGCTGTGCACCTTCAAGTCATTTCCAACTGATGATGACACTAAGGCAAACCTATCATGAACCTCCTTATACCCGGCGTATAAGATGACCCCCCCACTTTAACCCCAGATTTTGCAGGTTAAAAAGTAGTCTTATATGCCAGAAAATAAGGTAATTCAAACACTCAATGAAACTGGGAATGTCCCGGCCAAAATCGGGATATGGCAACCCTACCTGGCCTACATCTGCACTGCAGAAATAATGCAGTTTGAGTTCGCTTTAAGCTCCAGGATGCAGATGCTGAGGCTGAGGCAGGCGCTTCACCGTCTCCATCACAACATCTCCTATAGCCAAACATTGGAGAACAACACAAAGGAACCCATGGCTACCTTCTTCTTCTTCCTTCCCTAGACAGGTGCCTTAATGATATCCCTGGAGAGGGTTGCTTCTACCAAAGACAAGAGGGACATTTGGGAGCAAAATGTTGTCTTCTCACCTCTTTTCCCTATTGCACTCCTTCGTTGTTGTTGTCGTCG